ATTAAAAATCCCGCAGTATCCATCATCTGATTAGCTAAATCACCAGAGTCTTCATTTATAAATTCATACTTTTTGCCTATATATATATATATATATATATATATATATATATATATATTGGAGCATCTGGAAGGGTAGCTCACTGAATTATGCTTTTTATGATAAACTGACATTCACGTAATCATTCACATATATGGTTTGACAGCAGATAATCATAAAATAATGGCATATATTATAGTTCAAATCAAATAGACTTTACAAACAAGCAAAAGCAGAATTTTTGAAGAATCAGATGTAGTTGAGTCTGATTGATTTAATTCTGTGACAGGGTACCATTCGGAAATAAATTTATGACTCTTATTGCACACTACTAAATTGTATTCTGTAGGTAAACCATTAGTAAGCAGTTCTTCCTTTAATTAGCTCGAAAAAGTAACAGACGATCAAATTGTTGATATTATATGGTTGGAGGCAATCGGAAGAAAGACTTGTTCGACACAAGTTTTGTAATAGCTCTGGCACTCGTCAGTGAGTAAGGCGTATCTGAAACCTTGAAGGAACTTATGGCCCTTCTGAGATAAGAACCCATGTCACCCAGTGCTGAATTCAGAGATGCTACCACTGGGCTATTCAGTCTCGCGATTGACCTTTTGTAGGATTGTATTCGATTCTTGGACCAGACACCCGGTGGTCAGTAGTGTCATTTGTCTAGTGCTTTGTTTGGTTCAGACAGAATTCTATCAGCATAGGGTGACGCAAGTTGGAATCATAGAAGGGTCATGAATTTCTTTAAGGTTGCAGTGACGCCTTTCTGACTGGTGACTGCCAGCTAGCACGAAATTCAGGTTCAGTTCAAAGTGCACCGTGATGGTGTACCAACTAGCATGCTGGCCACGTTCCCAATGTGGATAATGGAATCCAGTCTGAACCAGACAAAGGACTAGACACGTTAAACTAATTATTAAATAGTGTCCAGTCAAGAGAGGCGAGGCAACCAGAAGCAAGGCACCCTTCTAAAACCTAGGGCTACCAGAAACCTGCATTGACCCTACTGCAGATAATTTCTCTTGTTCACTTTGTTTTAATCTATTAAAATATGTCTTCTAATCGTATCACTTACCCTCGCGAGTATTTATAACGTCTGCAGTCTGATGGTTCACAAGCTTCTATTTAACCTCAGAAAGAGCTTAATCATGGGTAGAAACGTATCCCAATTAGAGGAGATAATTGTTCGCGAATTATGTTTCATGGATCACAAATTGGACTCATTGCAATTGGTTTTCAAGCAAATATCGTGCATTCATCAAAAGGCCACAAAGAAGGAATATCATAATTGATTGGCTTGTGCTTCAGATTAGACAGCATTGTGTCACACAATCTACTGTCAATTATTTATTTTTTTATTGGTTGAAGGATTTAATCATGCGTTGACATCAGTTACAGGACAATTGGAGCAGTGGACAACTGTTTCGACCTAGTTTGGGAATCTTCAACAAAACGCACTCACTCCTAGGGTTCGAACCCACCACCTTCCAGTTACAAGGCAAACAATCCTGTAGACCATTACGCCACTGGAACCCCATCCAATGGCCAGTTCATGCATTCTAACTTATGCTAATTCATGACATAGCATAACCATTTCGAAACGTCTTCTTTTATGAGTTACTGCCTCACCTTCAACCTGCTGCACCATACTGGTCATGGCTTCCCGCTAGAACTTCAGGTTAACTGCCTGAATAGGGCCAGTCACTAGCGAGCATCAGACGAATTTTCAAGTATTGGTTTTTGTAGGGATTTAGTTCGATGGGTTGGAGGATTTCATCATGAGCTGACATCAGTTTATTTGAAGGTCCCGTAGAAAGAGAAAACATCATGCTATGAAATTCTGTGAAAATTCTGTACATTATATAAACACTCTCCAGAACAGAGGACTCTAGGTGAACAAAGACAACAGGGAGGTTATGAAAACAGCCACCCAACAACAACTACAGCAACATCCGGAGCCAAACACAATCAACGGGAGGGATGTGAAAGAGGTTACTTCATTCACTTATCTAGGGAGCATTGTCTCAACTACAGGCAGTCGGAACGGATGAGGATGTCAAATCGAGCGGGAATCGGGAAGGCGAGAAACACATTCATCAACCTGAAACAACCAATCTGGAGATCTTCGTTACTCAGAATCAACAACAAAATTCGGTAGGATTTTCAATACAAACAACGTCAAGTCAGTCAGCTCTTCTATACGGATCAGAAACTTGACGGGCGGGTCACAAAGAATATTTTCAACAGCCTGTTGCAGACCTTCATCATCAACAACTGTCTTCGCCGGCTCTACACTGAAGATCAGATGGCCGGGTCGGAAAGAATCACCAACAAGAAACTATGGCTGGGAACAAACAAAACAAGAACCAATCGCCCAACCAACAAATATGCAGGAGAAAGTGGAGATGGATCGGACACTCGCTCGCTGAGTAGGCCGCTGAGTGACATTGCGCGCGTCAGGCCCTTGAGTGGAACCCAAAAGGGAAGCGGCAAGTGGGACGTCCAAGAATGACATGGGGGAGATCGTGTGAAAAGAGAGGAGTTGAAAGAGTATGAACTAACATGGATGCAGGTGAAAAGTACAGCAGAAGACAGAAGCAAGTGCAGACGTGCAGTTGAAGCCCTATATTCCACTAGGAACCCAAGGGAACAATAGTAATGATAATATAGAATAGAGCTATTATTATTATTAATATATATAATGCCTTTATTAATTATTGTGATGTGAGCATTTATTGGAGATTATTCAGTTGGGGAGTCTTCCTTCTTTCACAGTACAAATTCTGTGAAACCCTGCCATTCAGTGGACATTAGAAGCGGTAGACAGAGGTGTTACTTCGTTAACAATCCTTAATTACACATTTGATACATTTCGTTTTTAACGCTAATGGCTGCTTCTTTTACTCAGTTAAACCATCTGTTCATTTTAAGTATATAGGAAATTTTAGCAGCAGGTGGTAATATTACTTTTTGTGATAAATAGTATGACGAAAACCATATGGATTTAAATGAACAATGAAGGCTTTCGTTGTCAGTAGTCTGTTATAATAGCTGCAAAAAGAAAAAAATTCATACTGCTTAAAACATTCATTTCGGAAAACTGTGAAGTCATATGATTTTAAAGTATCACTTACACATAATTGTTTTGATTTGCATTCCCTGTAAATCACATATTTTGATGTGGTTGTGTTCCCTGAGTTGGATAGCTAATTTGCGAAGCTTACATCTCCCTACTAGGCGACATCTTCAGCGCATACTCCAGTTTGAAGTGAGCTTCTAGATTTCTCCACGAGTTTATTAATCACCTCTCCCGGTGACCTTGAGCGTGATTGGTTGTTTTCGTGTGTTTTCACACCCTCTAGGCTATTTGTATCGAAACTGATTGTTTCTCTGACTTGAAGTTTGACCCTATGTGTGTGAGGTTTCTTTCTAATCGGCTGCTAAATTTTGAAAAGGAGATCGTCTTACCATGTATAAAGGATATCTCAAAAATCACTACAAGACTCTTCAAACCTTAGGACTTGACGTCGTACACAAACCAACAAAGTAGCTTTACTCAATTCTATGTCAACCAAAAGACTCAACAGCAAAAGAAGATAAAACCAACATCATCTACAAAATAAACTGTAACAACTGCGAAAAACACTACATTGGCCAAAGTGGGTGTCCCCTTCGTCTTCGTATCCACGAACATAAGCTAGCCGTCAAAAGACATGATATCCACTCCCTCGTTTCACTACACATAGACAACCACGGACATCAATTTGACTGGGACAACCAGCGTTCAAATATATGAGACAGAAAACAACAAGAATTCCAGATAATTTTTAGAAGATTGGCATTCCAGTGAATCATCAATCAATAGATACATCGAGATAGACAAAATTTATCAACCGATTAGAAAGAAACCTCACACACATAGGGTCAAACTTCAAGTCAGAGAAACAATCAGTTTCGATACAAATAGCCTAGAGGGTGTGAAAACACACGAAAACAACCAATCACGCTCAAGGTCACCGGGAGAGGTGATTAATAAACTCGTGGAGAAATCTAGAAGCTCACTTCAAACTGGAGTATGCGCTGAAGATGTCGCCTAGTAGGGAGATGTAAGCTTCGCAAATTAGCTATCCAACTCAGGGAACACAACCACATCAAAATAATCCACCTGAGCTACAAATCTTCCCTACCATATCTAAATCACATATAATTAAATCTGTGGGAGTGGGAGATTCATCAGTCTAAAATCAATTTGGAAATCACCTGCCCTCAGCTGCATTAAGATTAAGGTTCGTATTTTTAATAATAAGTCAGAAAATTGACGAACGCATCACCAAAAAGCATTTACAGCTGTCGGCCTCAGGCTTCCATCAACAATCGCCTTCCCTAGTTTCCTACTGAGGACCAAATGGTCAGTCAGAATGAATAGGCAACGATAAACGCTTAGAACCTAATGCTCAACAATTATTAAGAAGAAAATGAAGATGGATAGGATCCATGCTCAGGTGACCATTGGATGTCATCTACGCCCAGCCAGTCTTCGAGTGGAACGATGGGACTAGCACTAAGGAGTTTGTGTGATGTGAAGATTGAAGCTTATTGGCAATCGTGGAGCCATCTTAAGAGGACTGCAGAGAACTAGGATAAAATGGGGATTTGCTGCCGAAGCCCTACGTTCTACTCGGAACTTAAAGGAGTAATAATAATAATACTTCTTCAAATGCCACTAGAAGTGCTTCTCATGAGTAGTCGACCACGTCTATATTCTATGTAGCAATATACGTAAATTAAATCCATGAATAATGCTTTAGAAGGTAGACATTTAGAGAAGTACAACATTAGGTACTTTTTTCTAGTATTAACAGGAATGTAATTCATACCTATTTAAAGTCTGTCTCATAGAGCTTTGTTAATTATCTAATATCCAGCATATTGTTTTAATGTTTTTGAATTCATAGTGCTCTGGAGGTAAACTGGCAACTGAACAGCTGTTATATATGCTAAGAGATATTGCATCTGGGATGAATTATCTTGCTCATTTGAACTTTGTCCACAGGGTAAGTTTATTTGCTTGCTTGGTAACCATGTGAATTAACCAATAAACTTTATTAAACATATTGGAGCCTTGACTAATAGAAATAAGTCTGCACCAAATAAAGGGTAGTGGAGAGGCAGCTTACTTGACACAAAAGTAAGAAGAGGAGCAGACGTTTGCTCAGACCACTATCTCGTACAAGGGACAATCCAAATCCAATTAAAAGCTTTCAAAGAAACAGGAGCTGCGGACAGACCACAAACCAATTTCAATACTCAAAAACTGAAAGACCAGGATACAAAAGACATCTTCACTGCAAACTTGGAGGATTTGAACTTCACCGATGATATATGTCTGGTTTCCCAAAAACTGGAAGATATGCAAGTGAAAAGCAACAAGCTTGCTGAAGAAGCATCAAAGATAGGACTCCAAGTAAGCGTAGAGAAAACAAAGGTGATGAAGATTCCTGACCAACAGCAGCAGCAGCAACAACAACAGACAAAAATCAGCCGGCATAAATGGGAGGAACCTGAAAGAAACAACCTCCTTTACCTACTTACCTGGGAAGCATCGTTTTAACTAAAGGTGAGTGGAACTGACGAGGATATCAAAGCAAGGATCGGGAAAGCAAGACAAGCTTTCATTACTCTCAAGTCTGTGTGGAGGTCAACAGCACTCACCATCAAAAATAAGATCCTGATTTTCAACTCCAATATGAAGCCAGTGCTACTCATTATACGGATCAGAGACTTGGCACGTCATCAAGAGCATCTCAAACGAACTACAGACCTTCATTAACAGTTGTCTTCGCTCAATACTCAAGATCAGAGTGCCAGAAAAGATCAGCAACACGGATCTCAGGCGATGAGCGAACCAACCAGGAACCAATTGGGCAACAAATCTGCAGGAAGAAATGGAGGTGGATTGGCCATACTTTGAGGAAACCATCAAGTGACATCACTAGACAGGCCCTCGAGTGAAACCCGAAAGGGAATCGGCGAGTTTGTCGTCAGTGCAAGTGTGACTTGGAGGTCATGTGAAGAGGAGATGAATGCATGTGGGCAGGTAAAAACGTTGTCAGAGAAACGAACGCAATGGAGACGTGCAGCTGAAGCCTATGTTCCTCTAGAATTAAAAGAAATAATAATAAAACAAACAAAGGGCTATACACATCACACTAGTTACCAATCAAAATATCCAATATACTCATACAAGAGGTCAATCGCTAATCCCTATAGCTCTGTTGTAATACCTCTGACTGCAGCGCTGATTGACACGGTTTTGAGTCTGAGAGGGAATATGAATTCCTCAAAGGTGGCAGATAAGCCTTGATGACTAGTGAGTGCCAACAAACCTGGAAACCTATATCGAACAAGACTTCCTTTTGATTACCCTCAACCATCTAATAGCTACAATTCAGAGCGTACTGTGATAGCTATCCATCAAACATGTTGTCCACAAAGCAAATATGCCTTGTAGAATTCATTCCGCACTTAAAACAAAGAACTAGATATATGACGCTTTTAATTCCTAGTGTTCAATCAAAAAGTGGTAGTGTGATACACACAATGGGTTCCAACGGAATATTATTCTCACAGTAAGAATCATTGTATTTGTTGGCCTTAACGTCTGAATACTATTCCCACAGTTCAGTAGCACAACATTAGCAACAGTAATGCTATATACGTATTTAAACATTCTATTTCACGTCATTTATTGTAAACCAAAATCATGCGCTCAGTGATTGGTTAAATAATATAAACTGTATAGATTAAAAAAATAGCTGTTTAATCATTGAAAAATATACCTTGTTTCTGTATCTTGCCGTCTCCTGTCACAAAAGTGTATATTTCAATCTGCTTCTAATTAGGATTTATTCAGGCAACTGTTTCACCAAATAGTTTATACATATATATATATATATATATTTCTTCAGTTTTGCTACTAACTTTATATAAACAAGTTTAACTGCGTCTATTTTTTTGTCTCTGTCAAGTACAATGTTCAATATTATTATTGAAAGATAAACGGAGTCATGTTTCTTGCTTGTAACAAGATGTTATTAGCTGTAAATTCCGTATAGTAGACAATCGAAGAACTATTGTAATCTGTGTTTCCATAGTTTATAATGTCGCCTTCAATCAGCGTTAACAAGGTATTAGGAGTGAACTGTGTAGGCAAAATTATTTTTATCATAGCTAATTTAATGTATGAGAGATCGAGTTGCCATGAATTAAGAAAAATGTTGCGTTAGCTCTTTAGAAATTCATTTCATTGGAGGGTTGTAAGCACACTGTAACTACGTTTTAAGTAAGGAATAACTTACCAGTACACTGGTCGTTAAGATAGCTCAGCATAACCCACGATGCCATTTAAAAAAAATTTTTTTTGATTACAGCTTGATTCCACACCGCATTTTTTGGTTCAAGTATGGAATTTTCAGCATGGATATCAGTAGCCAAAATTTTGCAGGCCGACCATAGATATCAGGTGTGCGTCGGCAGGGGATCGAACCCGGACCATGTGGATGGTCGACGAGAGTCCTAACCACTGTACCACCTATGAGACTAATATTACTCATGTGCTCCATATTTTAAAATCAGCGGATAGTTCGGTATTTTGAGTGATTGTAAATTGAGTGATGTAATACAAATGAAGAGGTAGAATAGAATTGTGCGTCGATGGCACAGTGGTTAGGACTCTCGCCGACCATGCACATTGTCGTGGGGTTCGATTCCCTGCCAACGCAAACCTGATATCTATGGTCGGCCTGCAGACTTTTGGCTACCGATATCACATGCTAAAAATTCCATACTTGTACCAAAAAATGCGGTGTGGAATCAAGCTATAATCAAAAATAAAAGAAAATAGAATTGAACTTAAACTGAACGAAAGTCAAGTTAAGAACAGTGATAATAAGGGTTAGAAATTTAGTAGGAGGTGAGAGGAGGAAATAATACCAGTACCTAACAAAAATAGAAAAATTACTTATCATGTGTTAAGACAAATGAAACGCATTGTAGATTTAATGACTGAACAAACTTCCTCTTTTGTATGCAGAGTTCGAGATTTAACAAGTGAAATCCCTTTGCTTCTGTCGTTTGAAGAATTTTGATACGTACTCTTTTAGCAAGGATTTTGTGCATTCTGTAGAAAACTTTGAGGTTCCTTTGTGGGTAAGCTTGGTGTCCAGACCTGATCAGTTGTTTCAGGATCGAGCTGATGGAAATTCCTCTTTCTCCTCCATAAAACGATGAGGGCAAATGTTTGTGATACATTCGGATAGCTAACAGTAGGTACGGCCGACTCACTTAGCTGCACACAAGCAAGTGGACTAATAGATGCACACTGATGACGTCGAAAGTGTTAGTTTGTCTCCCACTTTCATTTCAACCATTGGTTTCGTAGAGAAAGTTGGTTGAAGTTTAGCGGCGAAGAAGGCTTTCTTCAGTGAGTTGGACAGGTATTTAAGTTATCTCTATAAAGCACTGGTTGTTCTGCTTTCACTTCTGTTTTGACTGGACTGTCGGCCTCTGTTCTTATTTTGCCTCCTAGTGAGGACGCTTAGAGGATGTCTCTGGATAAACATGAGGTAATTTTATGGATGGGGACTATTAACGCATAATAACTGATGCCCGTTGCACAAGAGGTAGCTCTGGTGGCACAACTGGTCTTGTGGATAACGCTTTGATGTTTTAAATGATAGGTACTGGGTTCGAGCCACTCCAGGAACAACATCACTCACTGGAGAATGCAATTATATTCAGCCGATGGGTCCCAAACAAGGCGAAATGAGCGTCGTGCAATCCATTGCTAGTCACAATCCACCAAATTACGCTAGCTTTTTGTTCCTATTCTCACAACTGTCTTAGATTATCAACAAAAAGGCATTCTGACTACCAGATTTATTTACTGTTTTGATTTTTGGTGAAAAAACTGTTAACCAATGAGAATAAAGCAGTTTCTGCCCTCATTTTGTTGTTCTTCTCTTCAACAGGATTTAGCTGCTAGAAATATACTTGTTGACAAGTTCAATACCTGTAAAGTATCAGATTTCGGATTAACTAGAAAAGTTGGCTCAGATACTGCTGAGGATGCATACACATTTACGGTAAGTTAGAGATGATGAGTGATTACATAAAAATTTCTGCAACTTTATTTTAAATTTCATTTCATTTGAAATATAACATGTATTGCTGATGTTGTTATCATTCCTAAACTCTTGTAGTTATCTATTCGTAAACAGTTGATGATCATTGTATGTTTTTAAGTTTCAAATATCAACAACTTTACATTCTAATTTGACCACGGACTGATATCAGTTAGAGAACTATTGAAAATCTAGGAGTGATGGACAGTTCTTTCTTCCGAGTTTGGGAATCGTCGAGGCAAAAATACCCTACCTTCCCACTACAAGTCAAGCTCGTAGACCATCCAGCAACTTGGGACCCTATCCAATGGTTCAGCCAGTATCATTGACGAGTGTTTGTCCTGACACTCGACCCGATGAACCCCAATTCGTTAGAACTCTAGGAAACTTCATAATGTGACTAGTCAATGAATGCCACTGAATCAGATCAGACTTCTCACTATAAGCAATGACCAGTGACGTCTACAATGCTGGAAGTGGGGGCAAATGCACCCTATTGACAGTGGCTGCTGGTAGCGATAAAATCACGAACTGGTAGAAGCTGGAATTCATCGGTCATTTAATCGAGACCCCAGTGACTGAGTGGTCTTTGAGCTCGCTTTGTAATCGGAAGGTCCTGAGTACAAACTCCGGTTGGTGAGTGGCCACTGATCATGAGCCCCTAATCTGTATGAAAAAGCTGTCCAGTAGCACCTTATGGCTTCCATGGTTCTCTAAATGATATCAATCCGTGATCAAACTTGAAGCTAATCAAATCTCGACAAATTAACTCTTGAAAACTTTGCATTTCACTTGTACAACTCATTCCTATCTCAGTGACTACACAGCGAAATTTAGTTCACATTTCTATTACTACGAAAGCGTGCAGAACTCATAATGAAAAAAGCTAGTCTCAAATCATATAGGAATAGTAATCTTCAAAAAATATACACGAAAACTTTTAATTCTTTCAACCTTTCATTCAACCAAAATGTCTGAAAAGTGAAGCAGACAAGAGGATGGAATTTCCTGAAGTTCTAGTGAGGAGTCGTGACCAGTGAGATCCATGCAGATGTTACGTGTGTGGATGGATGTCCCACCTACGACAATCGTTGGGGTAGCGCTAAATCACGAATTGGTAGAAGTTAGAATTCATGAGCCATTCAGTCGGGTCCCATTGGGTGAATGGTATACGAGCCAGCTTGACTTGTAACCGAAACGTCTTGGGTTCGAACCCCAGTGGGTGCGTACTTCCGATGATTCCCAAACTAGGATGAAACAGCTGTCCAGTACTCCCTGGTTTTCAATGGTTCTCTAGCTGCTATCCATCCGTGATCAACTCGTAAAAAACAAAGAAAGAAATCTTCCCAACTATTATTATCTTTTCGAAGACTGCGTCTACTTCTTTATATTGACTAATAGGGAATAATTATGGCTATTTCTCGCAGTAACCTGACCATTGGTCACCTTCACTGACATACAGTTAAACATTGAATAGAATTAGTGTTTTACTCCAGTATATAGCCTTACTCTTAGCCAAAGTTTGTAAATGAGCAATGGTATTACTATTTAATGACTAAATTACCCGTATGACTAAAGTTCATTTCAAAGATATCATCAAATGTAATTCTGCAAAAAAATGGTGGAATAACTCACTCCGACAATAAGTGATAACTCCATTCTGAAGATTAACAGTCAAAGGATTTTTAAAAAATGTGGTCTACTGATTAATTTATCAGGAAAATCAATCAAGTTTTCATGAGTGAAAATAGATCATTTCTTAATCCGTTCATTTTTTCCCAGACACTGAAATAATAGTCTTAGAAAGAGTTTCTTCATGATAGCAAGCTTCTAAAACCGTCTTGAACAGGCCATCTGAAGCGATCAGAACCCGCCTGTTACGATCTGAGCTCAGGAGACCAGTCTATACGTTCTACTGCATAGCTAGTCAGATTTTCCTTCAGTTAAGCGCAGTAAACAAATATCTCGACGATAGTTAAAAGTCAGTTATTTATGATAAAAACTGCAGTGCTGTTTAGCAGCTATAATATATCAGAATGTGAATCTTAGTTAACAATACCGTCAGGCAGCTATACAGATCAAATTAGATCGCAACTACAGGAAAAGTGCTGTACAACAGAATTATTTAACCGAAATCAACAGTTTGAATTATCTGATAATCAAGTACAGTATTGCTAGCAATGTGTGATCAAATACTCTGTTCACAAGAATCACAAACTAACGTTTCATCCAGACAGTCCAGAGTCAGAATAATCTCCACTGACTCATATAAATCCACATCGTAAAACAAAACATTATCAATATCATCACACAACCACCACAAAGAAAAGCAACAAAATTGAAGATTGAATACGAATAACGACAAATAATCGGGATTAGGTCAATAGGTGTTAATGAAAACAAAACACATAGTTCAGCGGAGGGGCTCTTTTCAGCGGCGAATTCATTTTCTTAGCTGTACAATCGCAAATATCTAGGTGTTGTTTTGTATGTATGTTTACAGTAAGTTTGTCAAACAAAATTACAATTGGTAATGGTTATTTTAACTAAACAAGGTGAAGATTAGTAATTGGAGTTATGTATTACAAAATCGGTCACGAAAAATAGGTGTTAATGTAATTAGGGTAGTAACAAAGGTGATGAATTGTCATAACAGTTGTTAAAAAAGAAGTTAAATAAAAATATGAATAGTTTGATGATCGAGTTTTACACAGGGTACACATAGGAACAAAGTAAAGAATACGAGATTACGTAAGATTTTTAAATGAATAGAAGAATTATAAGCAATTAAAGAACAAGCAAACAAACAAAATGAAGTCGCCGAAAAGAGACTCTTCGCTGAACTACGTGTTTTGTTTTCATTAATGCCTGGATGGGGATTATCCATGAAACAATAGGTGATATGCGAATGTCAAGACAATACTATACGTTGTAGATACGTTGCGGATAATATTTACAAAGTGAGTCGAAACACCGAAATAAATATAAATATTGTTATTAGGTCGTTCAGGTGAGATTTTGCAAACTATTAACCCTTTACACCCATACCAGCTAAAATGGGCTTAGACAGAATTAAACCATTGGACGAAGACATGGTATCTATTACAATGCAGTGGGATAACCTAGAAACCCTATTATACGCATCTGATATAACTTTCTGAGGCAAATGTTATTTACACTTTTACGTGATGAAACCGAATCGTTCTCAATGACACAAACCGGTCTGTCTTCTGCCTTCATTTTTATGGCTATAGAGGTCGAGAGTGACTAGTGATCAGTACTGGTATCAAGCCAATAAATCAAAAGTATTAATTAGTAAATCGCTCCCGATTTAACAGTTCGCTGCCAACTATTTTATCAAACACTACTCACATAATTTACTAGAAATGTGCTCACTTAAACATTTGGAATTGGCTTACACTAAAACTACACCGTAACAGTGACCTATAAAAACAAAAACGCTGTCACCAAAAATGTTGATATGCATGTGACTTCTGTTACAGCAGTAATATTTCTGTACTGCTTTGCACAGACAACAGTTTGTCTAAGGCCAATAAACAGCTAAACAAACTGTTTTATTGGTTACAGGATGTCATCATGAGCTGACATTGGTTAGAGAACCATTGAAAAGCAACTGGGAGTACTGGGTAGCTGTTCCGTCCTGGTTTGGGACTCCTTGGCAGTACGCACCCATCACCAGGGTTCGAACCCAGGACCTTCTGGTTACAAGGCACCCGATCCAATGGCCAACACATGAATTCTAACTTCTGCCAATTCACGATATAGCGCAACCACTAGCCAATGTCTTCGGCAATTATTTGTCCTCACACCCGACCCGCTGCATCCTACTGGTCATGACTTCCCACCAGATTACTACCAACCTGAATAGGGCTATTTGCTAGTGAGCGTCTGATTGATAATCAAGTGCGAGGATAAATACTCGCCGAAGACATTGGCTAGTAGTTGCGCTATATCGTGAATTGGCAGGAGTTAGAAGTTATGGGCTATTTGATCGGCTCCCAGTGGCTTAATGGTCTCCGAGCTCGCCTTGTAACCAGGGCTCGAACCTCAGTGGTAGGTGCGTACTGCTGAGGAGTCCCAAACTAGGACAAAACGGCTAGCTGTCCAGTACATCAAGGTTTTCCAATGGTTCTCTAACCAATGTCAGCTCGTGATGAAATCCTGTAACCAATCGAACAAATCCCTGCAAACCAATACTTAAAAATCTGTTTTATTGTTAAACTCCATTTTGAACAAACTTTAGTAAAACAATCATGACCAGCTAGGGTAAAGACATTTAAGACGGAGATTATCTGATAATTTCAGATAATCTCCGTCTACTAATAAGGTAAAGACAGTTGAATTATCACCTGTAGGCTAATAGTCATAGTACAAATTTAACAGTGATCATAACAGCAACCATCTAAAATAATTTTTGATCTTTGAACATTTTCTGGAGCTATACAGACTACACCGGTAGGATCTGTAATACTTTTGAAATAACCACATTAAAGTTTTCATGTCAAATGAGTGGAGCTGGTTACATTTTAACAATCTAGTCTACGAAATGTTCCTAAAGTTTGTTTTCAATACAGTATACTACATCCCTCATTCGTCAAGTAATTTTCTACGAAATCAAGGAAAATACATTTTGTGTAAAATATTTTGATGTGGCGTTTATATGAGTAATATTTAATTCACAAAAAAGTTTAAATACGAAATATCATAAATATCTTCTTTTCTCAATTTTCAGGGTGGAAAAGTTCCTATACGCTGGACAGCACCTGAAGCTATAATGTATAGAAAATTTACCATATCCAGTGATATCTGGTCATTTGGTATTGTAGCCTGGGAATTATTCAGTCTCGGTGAAAGACCCTATTGGAATTGGACAAATCAAGCTGTGATCGCAATGGTAGAAAAAGGCTATCGTCTACCTGCACCTAAAGCCTGCTCTGATGATATCTATCAAATAATGACAGCCTGTTGGGATAATAATCCAGAGTATAGACCGAAATTCAGTTCGATCTGTGAACAGATCAATGTATCGATTGATAAATATTTACAGACATGTAGAAAAGTGGACTATTTGAATATAAATGAATTAAAGACGGCAAATTCTTCTTCATTAACCTTATCATGGATTAATGATGATGTTGATGATATTGCATATTGTCTTTTGCCTAAATCAACCGATAACGGTTTACTTACACCAAGTTTTAATAATAATAATAGCAACAATAGTAATAATAATAACAATAATAATGCATCACAAATCTCAAGAAACTCCTCTTACAAGATGTACGCCTCATTTTCTTCATCAAATACGTATTTTAATATGAATAGAGTGAATACAGCAAGTGAAGAGAATCCATTGTATAATAATAATAATAATAATAATAATAATAAACGAGAATGTAAAAATGATATTTCAATGAGGGAATTTAAAGATACAATCAGCAGTTTAAGAAATGATACCGGTAAATGTTCAGTGAATAGTAATAATAATTATGGTCAAGAGAAACTTTTATATTATGCCAATAATCATAGTACAAATGAACATAAGATTGAAGCTATGAATGGAAAATACATTTCTTTTTCTAAACCAAAATGTAATGTTTATGCATGACTCTCTCCTTTTTCCCTAAAAACTGTCTTCTATATCTAGAGGGTAAAGAATCAAGGTGTCCAAGTCGATGTCAGTCGTAAATCCTCTCCCTGTGGAGGTTTACATTCCTCCTCCTCCTCCTCCCACTGCCTTCTTTACTCCTTCAATGATAGACATTACTGCCACAGAAACACGTGTCTTCCTATCGAAACGAACAAATAAACAAGCTGTTCATACATGCATTTTCGCATAAAATCAGATGTATTCCCTCTTTTTTGTAATTATTAAAAATTATAAAAGTCAACCATGAAGTACAAAATAGTGTCTTTAAGTCTTCATGCACTTCTATGCATTTATGAAAGCTGTTCAAACGAAAAACAACTCTGAAGTTAATTCCTTCTTCTCTTTATTTCTCCTTCTTCTTGTTCTTCTTCTCCAAAGATGAAAACATTTTAGTGTATAAATTTCTAGAGTTATATCAGTTGATTTATTGAAACACAGATGACTTCTGATTTCTCACCTTACTACTCAACACGAAACAAGATAAAATTTCTCAGGTGAAAGTCGTAGAGAATGATACCATCTCTAGTTGACTAGTTCATGAATTCAAGAGCAGTTGTCACCAGTTCAGCGGTTCAAGTGTGAGAATAAGTGCGTATCGATGATACTGGCGAATTGATAAAGTTAGAATTCACCAGTCACCGAATTTTGAAGTAAAAATGGCTGGACGGTCAACAGGCTCAACTGCATAACTTGAAGGTTCTGGGTTTGATTTCTGGCGTCGTGGTGGGTGAGAACTGTTGAAAGTCCTAAACTAGGATGAAATAGCTGTCTGGTACAGCCTGGTTTCTAATGGTTCTCTAATAGATATCAACGCGTAATGAAATTTGAAACCAATTGACTCCCTACAATCAAACTCTTGCAAAATAAGTGTATACTCACGTATTATTTCTTTTATAATGCACATAAAGACTAAATAGGGTATGATGCACAGAAATTTCTGTATGATTACAATAAAACAAGTAGTATGGTTGTATTGATGATACATTTATTTTATCTATTGAGAAAGTAAATCAGAACGAGATGTCGATGGAAGTTTAATGGAGTTCTTCCACAACTTATACTCATCTGTTAAAAACATGATGACTAATTACACCGTCTTGATTTGCATAGGAAGAATAGAGGCGATTATGAAAAGAATACGTCAGTAGGACAGTATGTACTCTGCTTCAGTTTCATATCATTCTTCTTCAGAATAAGTTTGGCCAGGCGCCGACAAATATGTCATGAAGGGTCTGTATCAGTGATTACTTGGAATACAAATTAAGATGTATAATGTGCTGATATAAGTGGGTTATCTTAATAGAAGAAGACACACAAGCAGTATACATAAGAAAATGGGACCAATTAAGTCTAATAAGGAAGAATGGATTACGAAGTCCCAATTAAATGTAGACGTGTCTGGTGTAGCTCTACACTACAGATAGTCTGAAGCTTACATTTGTGCATGATTTTCGGCCGAGATAAGCTACCTAACTGTGTCACTTTTATGTGCTTCTACAAATTAAGATGCTCCTATGGAGCAAGCTATGCTTGGTAAACAGTTGGCCAACTCAACAAACGCTCTGATGAGTACCTTCCTTCATGGCCGTGAAAGAAGTAAGAAGAAACCGGTTAACTTGATTTCGTCTCATTTAGTTGATGGCGGTCACCCACTAGTTAGAAAAAGTGCTTTCATGACTCTTTATCGAGTTTCATTGAGTATTTTGATCAGAATTCGAACTCATCTTTTATAGGACAGAAGCGATAGGAATTCGAGAGAGTAACTCTTGTCTTTCCATGGAAAAGTAGTCGGTTCTACGTATTTTATTTTTTTTGTGTTCCTAGTTGAACTTAGGACTTGAACTCTGAAGTCTCAGTAGCAGAGGTGTTTGTTTTTATAGTGCAGGGTTGCTAGTGTCATACACAGCCTTCTCTCTTAACCGAGGTGAAGAGGATTGCACCACGAACCACTTGAGTAGCTGGCAAATATTTCTTCAGTCAAAAACTGACTCAACAATATCTCCACCCTTATCTCTCCCTTTGTCTAGGTGAATCCACTGACGCAAATATAACCTTCTACTACTTTCTTACATTTAACATTTCCATTTATTATTTATCCAATACATATTTAGTAAGATTTGATAGTGTGAAATATTCCCATATTATCAGTTAAAAGTCAATCTGAACGAAGAATATTCTTTCCAAAAATTTCTCCTCTTCAGGCTCTTACAATTATAATTATTATAATTATCACAATTATTATAATTATTATTATTATTCGTCATAATTTATGCCCTTCTTGCAAACATTCCCTCAATACTATCGAATTTTTCATTTACACTATCCGAACTTATTATTAGTGATAGTATGTATCTCTTTTCTCAATATATGCACACATTCATTATTTCATGAGGAACCTCTCATTCCAGTCTTACTATCTCCTGTTTTACACAGACCACTTTGTACTAGCCACTCGCTCACTCATCTGACACCTTTTATAACCTTGAACTGACTGACTTGTCAATTTTTCTACCCCACATTCTACGAACCTATTATGACTCACTAATCACCACCATTGTCTCCCATTTCACCATATTTTGTAGTCGATTTCAGCCCAGAGGACGTTTGTCACACAAACACGACTATTTATTTTGACACGCCATAACGAATCTGTTATTCTACGTTAAAAATGTATCCGCCGCCGCCGCATAACTGGCCTTTATTGTAACGACAACAAATGCGTTATATTTTATAATTGTAAGAGCCTGAAGAGGAGAAATTATTGGAAAGAATATCCTGCGTTCAGATTGACATCTTAACATGTTTAGTATGACGTAAGTTTTGGTTCTGTTTAGATTTAACCTAATTAAATTGATGAAATATGTGCATTATTAGGCTATCTCCGATATTCAATATATATATATATGTCTTCTAGAATTAGTTTGTCGTGGCTTGATTGGTTTCATTTTTGATCACGGATTGATGTCCGTTGGGGAACTGTTGAAAACCATGGAGTATTGGACAGGTGCTTCCTCCTGGATCGGGACTCTTCATAAGCATGTGCCGATAATCCCACTGAGTATCGAACCCATGGACGTTCAGTTTGCGAGATTTACACGTTGACTTTTCAGACATTCGGATGTGATCCGATGGCCGGTGATTTTGGACTTCTACCAATTCTTGAATTAAAAACCCGAGCAAAACAACAATTCAATACATCATGGTTTTCAATGGTTCTCTAACTGACATCAATCGGCGGTCAAACTTGAAAGCTTTATATATACATATATATGTATGATAGAGAAGATTTGTAGCTCAGGTGGATGATTTTGATGTGGTTTTGTTCTCTGAGCTGGATGGTTAGTTTGCGAAGCTTCATACACAAAGGGTCAAAGTTCAAGTCAAAGAAACAACCGGTTCCAATACAAGTAACCTAGAAGGTGTGAAAACACACACAAACAACCAACCATGTCCAAGGTCATCAGGAGAGATGATTAATAAACTCGTGGAGAAATCTAAAAGCTCACTTCAAATTGAAGTATGCGCTGAAGATGTCACCCAGTAAGGTGATGAAAGCTTCGCAAACTAACCATCCATCTCAGAGAACAAAACCACATCAAAAAACATATATATGTATATATCAAGTGTCAAGTTGCAAAACAATTCATGTAATATGGAGAATCATTCATAGGACATAAAGATGTTAGAAGGGGTGTATAATTAGCAGCTTAATGGGCTAATATAAAACCCTATACAACATAGTGTGAAATTTGGTAAGGTAGAATTGAACACTGTAAACCAATTTGGGCTCGGTATGACAACTGGAATAACTGGGAACAGTTGAAAGTAAAAACAGTAATAATAATAATAATCGCTGTAATGAGGGGAAGGTACATAAATTAACTACATAAAACAAATAGAATAAATAAAAAATTGCCTATCTTTCTATAACCAAGGCAGGGATAGGGATTGTACATATTTCGTTTTTACACAAACATCTGGTTTAAAGTCATAAGTACGCCAAGGCTTCCACTGTCTTTAGAATTTTACCACCAAGAAAACTCAGCGGGTTAGCCCGGACTCGATAGATGATCTTAAAGTCATGGTCAGGGTTAGTACAGTGACAGGAGGAGAGCCTGTGAAAGGTTAAATTGAAAAGATTTTCATTCATCCAGCTGCGATTTTAACACCTGGAGATGTAAATTCCAGGACTTAGCATAAATTTAAAATGCTGAATAATCGCCACTGAAATGCATTTATTTTTATAAATAAAATATACTGAAATTCGAATAGCTATTATAAAATATATTGAATATTAAAAGCACTTCTATTATCAGTCAAACAATGGATACATCTTTCAGTTATGTGCTTTTCGATACATTCTAAAAGATTCAGGCATAAATTTGACATATTCATTGACAGGCTGATGTATAAAAACGTGTCATTTTTCGTTTGTTCTATTAAGATATGACAGTTTTATCAAGATAATCTAATTGTTCGAAATTCTCGACTGTGAAACGATACAGTTGAATGATGTTTATCATCTCACATAGAAGAATTTACACTTTATTTTTAAGTCAATGTCTGTATTTTGATTTCGTTATGTTCATTGAGTGAGTTGGTTGATTTAACTGGGGTGCTTTCAATGTCCTTCTAGACAACATCTTCAGCGAAAGCTTCAATATGATGAGGGCTTGTTTGAATCCTCCATGAATAAAATGGTTGTATCTCCTGAGAGCCTACTTTGTCGTGAATGATTGTCAATTTACACCTCTATCGATTGTTTTTATTGACTTGGAATTCGAACCTTCTTTTATTAGGAATAATTTTTTGTCAGTTGGTATATTTGGTTGCTGATTCCTTTGCGTACCAGGCCTGTAGAAGTTTCTTGGCATTTTAGGTGTATTCTCTGTTTGCTTTTACGAGTGTGACCACTGACTGATGTCACTTAGAGAACCGCCGAAAACCAGCAATGGAGTACTGGACAGCTGTTTCATCCTATTGGCGGTATGCATCCACCACCAGGGTTCGAACCTAGGACCTTCCGGTTACAAGGCAAGCTCCTATACTATTCAGCCACTGGGACCTGATTTAGTGGCCAATGCATGAATTCTAACTTCTACCGATTCATGATTTAGCGCGACCACCAACTAACTAGGATGAAGCAGATGTCCAGTACTTCAGTGCTGGTTTTCAGCGTTTTTTTTAACTAATATCAATCCGTGGTCAAACTCGTACAAACAAATTTAATCCCTACAAATCAACTCTTGAAAAAGTATCCTCTATGTAACAGTCATTCATGACAATGGTTGTCAGGAGACACATTTATATCATTCATGGAAGGAGAATTCAAATAATTTCATTTCATACTAGAAGCTGCACTGAAGAAGCTGTCCAGAATGCCAATAAACGCTTCGCAGTTAAACGAATCAGGTGGGAGAACACAACTTAATCAAAATCATCCATTTCAGCTGCAAAATGTTTCTCTTATTTGAAATGTCTGGATTT